ATCAATGCTAGGTATTGCGTTCTGATTTTTAGAAAATATAAAATGATATATTTAATATTAATATTTATAGTACTTACACTCTTATCAGGTCCAATAAGTGAGGCTATTTGAAAGGGGCTTGATATTTGATTGGTAGATAATTTCTAAATATTTAAATATTATAACTTAATAAGATTTCCTATATTACCGAGTTAGAAGTTTCTGTTTGGCATGAAACTATTGATAAATCATCACGATCGTTATCAAAATAATGCTTAAATATTTTTTAAATTTAAAAAATAAAATTACTATTAAACTTACATCTGTAGATTTTTTGTTTATAAATGGTTCAGATACCAAAATATTATCAATCGGTAGAGAGATTTTCAAATTGGCATCTAGGTTATTGATAAATTGATTAGATTTATAAAAATGAGAATGGTACTGTTATTAAAGGGATTTGAAACTACATGCCTTTTAGAAAATTCAGAAGGAGTTGTCGATAATATCTATAAAAAACAATTTCATAATTCTAATCTATATAATAAATATTTTCTACCTTTGGGATTGTTTGAGGATTTTTATAGGATGAGGTCAATGATGTAAATGAGGCAATTTGGAAGGGGCTTGATATTTGATTGGTAGATAATTTCTAAATATTTAAATATTATAATTTAATAAGATTTCTTATATTACCGAGTTAGAAGTTTCTGTTTGGCATGAAACTATTGATAAATCATTACGATCGTTATCAAAATAATGCTTAAATATTTTTTAAATTTAAAAAATAAAATTACTATTAAACTTACATATGTAGATTTTTTGTTTATAAATGGTTCAGATACCAAAATATTATCAATCGGTAGAGAGAATTTCAAATTGGCATCTAGGTTATTGATAAATTGATTAGATTTATAAAAATGATAATGGTACCGTTATTAAAGGGATTTGAAACTACATGCCTTTTAGAAAATTCGGAAGGAGGTGTCGATAATATCTATAAAAAACAATATCATAATTCTAATCTATATAATAAATATTTTATACCTCTGGGACTATTTGTGGATTCTTAGAGGTCATAGATGCAATAACTGATGAAGGAAAAACTTTGCAATCCTACATTTTAATTTTTTAAAGCAAATATTTTTAAAATTTTTAATAAAGCATCATATAATAAAAATGTTTTTTTATAAAAAAAGATACTTACAACGTCAAGAGATGAATTTCCATCTATTGTTGGTTGAGGTAGGTTTAGGATATTTTTAGCTCCTGCTGCTGCTAATTTCATCGTAGCATTGAGGGAGTTTATATGATGTAATACAAAATCATCTATTCTTATTGGAAGACTTTTATTAGCAAATATTCTATTTTTAATATTATTAAAATTGCTCTCTGATGAAGCACTTGACGCTGTGATGTTTGCATTTTTATAATATCTGACCAGTATCGCAGTCCACAAGGGTAAAAGTTTTACAAGGTGTAAAATTGGGGTAATCTTTAACGGTCAATAGCTGGAAAACGGCAATGATACAAATCGAACTGAAAACGGTACAAATCAATCCCGTTTTAAAAATTTGAAAAATCTCAAATTTTGAATATTGGGGGGGGGGGGGGGGGCTAACTTCACGCTATAATATAAGGTTTTAAATTTGATTTCCGAAATAAATAATGAAGATAAAGCTTAATTTGAGGCATCATTAGGAAGAGAAAAATTCTCTACCGTTGTACGTTAAAAAATTTTTAAAAAAAATAAATGTTGAGTGTTTTATATTTTTGGCGCCATATCTTTAACGGTCAATAGCTGGAAAACGGTAATGGTACAAATCGAGTTTGAAACGGTACAAATCGGGTACAAATCAATCCCGTTTTAAAAATTTGAAAAATCTCAAATTTTGAATATTGGGAGGGGCTAACTTCACGCTATAATATAAGGTTTTAAATTTGATTTCCGAAATAAATAATGAAGATAAAGCTTAATTTGAGGCATCATTAGGAAGAGAAAAAAATTCTCTACCGTTGTACGTTAAAAAATTTTTAAAAAAAATAAATGTTGAGTGTTTTATATTTTTGGCGCCATATCTTTAACGGTCAATAGCTGGAAAACGGTAATGGTACAAATCGAGTTTGAAACGGTACAAATCGGGTACAAATCAATCCCGTTTTAAAAATTTGAAAAATCTCAAATTTTGAATATTGGGGGGGGGGGGGGGGCTAACTTCACGCTATAATATAAGGTTTTAAATTTGATTTCCGAAATAAATAATGAAGATAAAGCTTAATTTGAGGCATCATTAGGAAGAGAAAAAAATTCTCTACCGTTGTACGTTAAAAAATTTTTAAAAAAATAAATGTTGAGTGTTTTATATTTTTGGCGCCATATCTTTAACGGTCAATAGCTGGAAAACGGTAATGGTACAAATCGAGTTTGAAACGGTACAAATCGGTACAAATCGGGTACAAATCAATCCCGTTTTAAAAATTTGAAAAATCTCAAATTTTTAATATTGGGGGGGGGGGGGGCTAACTTCACGTTATAATATAAGGTTTTAAATTTGATTTCCGAAATAAATAATGAAGCTAAAGCTTAATTTGAGGCATCATTAGAAAGAGAAAAAAATTCTCTACCGTTGTACGTTAAAAAATTTTTAAAAAAATAAATGTTGAGTGTTTTAAATTTTTGGCGCCATATCTTTAACGGTCAATAGCTGGAAAACGGTAATGGTACAAATCGAACTGAAAACGGTACAACTCGGGTACAAATCAATCCCGTTTTAAAAATTTGAAAAATCTCAAATTTTGAATATTGGGGGGGGGGGGCTAACTTCACGCTATAATATAAGGTTTTAAATTTGATTTCCGAAATAAATAATGAAGATAAAGCTTAATTTGAGGCATCATTAGGAAGAGAAAAAAAATCTCTACCGTTGTACGTTAAAAAATTTTAAAAAATAATAAATGTTGAGTGTTTTAAATTTTTGGCGCCATATCTTTAACGGTCAATAGCTGGAAAACGGTATTGGTACAAATCGAACTGAAAACGGTACAAATCGGGTACAAATCAATCCAGTTTTAAAAATTTGAAAAATCTCAAATTTTTAATATTGGGGGGGGGGGCTAACTTCACGCTATAATATAAGGTTTTAAATTTGATTTCCGAAATAAATAATGAAGATAAAGCTTAATTTGAGGCATCATTAGGAAGAGAAAAAAATTCTCTACCGTTGTACGTTAAAAAAATTTAAAAAAAAATAAATGTTGAGTGTTTTTTATTTTTGGCGCCATATTTTCAACGGTCAATAGCTGGAAAACGGTGATGGTACAAATCGAACTGAAAACGGTACAAATCGGTACAAATCATTCTCTACCGACCTATTCACTTTTTATTTTTAAGTTCAAAAGTTGGGGGGCTGTCGTGAAGTTGGCCCCCCATTTTGTTCTTTGAATATCTCAAAAACGGTGATGGTACAAATCGAACTGAAAACGGTACAAATCGGTACAAATCGGGTACTAATCACACCAACTGATAAACCATTGAAAATCAAAAATTGCGGGGCCAACTTCACGGACCTTTACACATAATGAGTCAAAAAAATATAATATTTTTAAAATCCCAAAAATTTTGATTAAACTAATAAATTGACATCATAACTCAAAAAATAATGATGGGAACTTAAATTTTTTTCCATTTTATGTTTATATGGGTAAGTTTAAACAAAATGAGTAAAAAAAAATAAAATGTTTTTAAAATCCCAAAAATATAAAAATTTTTGACTAAACTGAGAATTGACATCATAACTCAAAAAGTAATGATAAAACTTTTTCATCTTATGTTTATATGAGTAAGTAGTTTACACAAAAGAGTCAAAAAAAATAAAATATTTTTAAAATCCCAAAAATCTAAAAATTTTTGACTAAACTGAGAATTGACATCGTAACTCAAAAAATAATGATGGAAACTTAAAATTTTTTTCATTTTGTGTTTATATGAGTAGGATTACACATAATGAGTCAAAAAATAAAATATTTTTAAAATCCCAAAAATCTAAAAAATTCTAAACTGAGAATTGACATCATAACTCAAAAAATAGTGATGGAAACTGAAAAATTTTTCATTTTATGTTTATATGAGTAAGTTTACACAAAATGAGTCAAAAAATAAAATATTTTTAAAATCCTAAATTTTGACTAAACTGAGAATTGACATCCTAACTCAAAAAATAATGATGGAAACTTAAAATTTTTTTCATTTAATGTTTATATGAGTAGGTTTACACAAAATGAGTAAAAAAATAAAATATTTTTAAAATCCCAAAAATCTAAAAAATTTGACTAAACTGAGAATTGACATCATAACTCAAATGACAAAAACTTAAAAATTTTTTCATTTTATGTTTATATGAGTAAGTTTACACATAATGAGTCAAAATAATAAAATATTTTTTAAATCCCCAAAATCTAAAAGATTTGACTAAACTGAGAATTGACATCATAACTCAAAAAGTAATGACGGAAACTTAAAATTTTTTTCATTTTATGTTTATATGAGTAAGTTTACACAAAATGTGTCAAAAAAATAAAATATTTTATCCCAAAAATCTAAAAATTTTTAACTAAACTGAGAATTGACATCGTAACTCAAAAAATAATGATGGAAACTTAATTTTTTTCATTTTATGATTATATAGCTTGTACCAAATATATTAATCCAAAATAAAAAAAAATTATGCTCCTATAATTCATATTTTTTTTTATTTAAAACTAAATTATTTGTCTATTACGCCATCTAACGAGAATATATTTATGATTTTGTAAATTTATTATGGGTATATTTTCTATGTAACATATCTGTTCTATACATATTTTAAATTTATGAACTACTATTTCTTCCATTTTCTATTTTATTAATTTAGTTAATTTTAATTAAAATAAATTTGATTTACATAATACAAATACATTATTTATATTTTTAAAATATAATTGATAGGTCATAAATAAATTCATTCCTGTCTATTCTCAGTTTACCTATCCATTCGCAGTTCACCTGTCAATTCTCAGTTTAGTCACACCATCTAATATACTACATTAGCAAAAATTCATTCATCGATGGCAGCAAATTATGTAACTTAATACAAAATATTTAAAGTATTCATATAAAATCTAGATAAAAAGTTACCTTTTATCAACACCACGTTTTTCAGCAATTCTTGGTAATTCAATATATTTATTTAGTTTTATATAATATAGCCAATGTAAGGACATATTGTAAAGTTCAGCAACCAGCTCCACATTTTAAAGGTACAGCGGTAGTTGATTGCAAATTTAAAGATATACAGCTAACAGATTATAAAGGAAAATATTTAGTTTTCTTTTTTTACCCCCTTGATTTGTAAATTCATATTTAATGTCTAATACAATATTTAATGTATTAGTACCTTTGTTTGCCCTACTGAAATTATAGCATTTAGTGATAAAGTTAAAGATTTTAAAGCAATAAATACAGAGGTTGTAGCAGTATCAACTGATTCACATTATAGTCATCTTGCATGGATTAACCTACCAAGAAAGGTTTTTATGTAAATGGTATTAGTATAATGATTAAAGATTAGAGTGGTGGTTTAGGTCATTTAGATATCCCATTGTTATCAGATTTTTCAAAAACAATTTCAAGAGATTATGGAGTTTTAATAGATGAGCCAGGTATTGCATTAAGGTGATGAAGTTTTATATGTATATATTATAACTACATCATAGAGGATTGTTTATTATTGATCCTAAGGGAATCATCAGGCATCTAAGTATAAATGATTTGCCAGTTGGTCGATCAGTTGATGAAACTCTACGTTTAGTCAAAGCATACCAATTTGTTGAAAAACATGGTGAAGGTATGTATATATATTATATATCTTGTAATATTTTGCATTGAATCCTAATTTATAAATATATAATTTTATTATATTATAGTTTGCCCTGCTAATTGGACACCAGATTCTCCTACAATTAAGCCAACCCCTATAGATTCTAAGAAATATTTTGAAAAAGTCAATTAGCTATTATTTTACAATTTTACACATCATTTATTTTGAATGTAAATATTTAGCATGGATTTATTGTTTAATAAATAATAATGACAATTATAAGGTTTGTAAATCACATTGGTTTGCTAATACTATTTTTGTATTTAATTTAATGATGTTCTAAAAGATGTTGTACAATTTTATCCAGTATAATTTTCTATAATCTGATGTATGCAATTCAAATAGTTAAAAAATAGTTAATTTTAGTTAAATGTATTTTAACTTATATTGTTATTTATAAACTTGAATAAAATTGGTAATTGGATGGTTAGTTTAATAAAATTCTACACTACAATATTAAAATATGTCATTGTAAAATTTTATGTCATTTATTGTCAACCTAACCCCTTTGGCTACTGTCTCTGCACATTAAACATGTGTTTTTATAATTTTTTCATAAAATATTAAACACCATTTTTTATATTGTAAAAAATTTATGTTTTCACAAACCATTTGTGGCCTAGTTTGTGATTATGTTGATCACAAATACAATAAACCTGGGTTCAAGTCTGGCAAGGGTCATGTTTTATTTCTGAAACCAACTTGGTGTTCTTGGGGCATGATATATAGTAAGTTAGGTTGGACTTTACCAGGTTATTTGTTTAATATTTATTTAAAAATATGGTAGTCATTACATTTTGACGAAATTTGACAGTTATATAATAAATTAGTAAATTGTTATTAAATTTAATGATTAACTATTTTTTTTAATGTGCCTTTCCATGTGAAATCGATAGTGATTCTTGAATTGGTCAAATAGTTGAATACCAAAATTAAATTTTAGTTTTAGATCATCTAGATAAATCCAGAGTTATGGGCCTTCATTCTCAAATCTCTTTCAGAAAATGCAATTTAATAAAAATATCTTCAGTTTTGAAGTGTTTTGCAAAAACTAATATAATAATTAGTAAATTAAAATCGAAGTTTTTATTACATATTGTTCCATGGAGCAAATTTTAAAATGCTCATATCTAAATATTTAATTAAAACTTTCATGTTGCTGAAAAAGAGCCTTTTAAAGTATTTATATAACTCATAACATCATGATACAATGTTTTTACTATTTTAAATCTTGTCTTTATCAAATTGGAACATAATTTGTCATTTTCTTATATTATAAAATTAGGAGTGTACCGATACCACTTTTTGGAAGCTGATCCAATATTAATCTGATATCGGCTGATTACCGATCCGGTGTCATATCTAATTTTTTATTCTGTAAAGATACCAATGGTTTAAATTTTTAATATACTTTTTATTAGTATAACATCTATAATTTAATTATACCATAATTTAAATATATTATAAAGATCAGTTATATTTTATATCTAATTCGATTATAATTAAGTATATAAAATATTTTTATTGTTAAATCACTTTTATATAACATTAATCTATATACATAATAAGTATTAAACAAATATATTATGAAATAAATATTAAAAATAATATTTAACATTTTTATATCGAAGATTTCTTTTTGAAATACCAAAATTTCCAATTTATTAGAGGTCAGTCTGCGGCGAAGGTGTCACCAGCTTTACTAAAAACAGATTCTGAAAAGATTATCGCACACTTTTATAAACAGAATGCGCAAAAAATAATATGCAGAATGTTTAGTAATTAATTCTTATAAATATATACATAAAAATGGATTTCAATTTTATTTATAAAAAAAATTATCTTAGATATGACTTTTTTTTTAAATTTTATTTATTTTTGTTAAAGACGCCATTTTATATGGGATCGGAAAATTTTATAATATTGGCCTATAACCGATATTTTAAAATGAGTGAAATATCGGCCCGGTCCGATAAAAAATATCGGTATACATCCCTATATAAAATACACATATTTTTCTACATATATATAAAAATTTGCATATATGTTAGCGTCAATGTGTTATTTTCGGCAATGTTATAGTAGTAGGCAAGGTGAATTTGTTATGCCGAAATAACCAGGCAATGTATTCTATTTTACAAATTAATGAATTTATTTGATTGATTTATTATTTATTTGAGAGGAATTATTTATAAATTTATTTTTATAATTTATAGATTTTGTTAGATATATTTTTTAAATAATATTTTTAAGATTGTTAAGGTTATTTGATCTTATAGTATTTTTTTAAATATTGGATGGTTAAAGTTTATTGATCTTATATTATTTTTAAATATAATTTTTTGATGTGTTATAGTATTTTTTGAGATATTTATTTTAATGGTTATATTATTTTTTTAATATATTTTATTAAGATAATTTATTTAATATTGTTAAATTGTTTTTTGGGGATATTTGTATTATATAATTTTGAGATAATATATTTTATGTAATATTTTAAATATATTTTTTTGATATAACCTATTTTTATATATCTTTTGATTGATTATTTTTTACATTTTAATTTTTTATATTTTAATTTTTTACTTACTTTTTTTGATACATTTTTTGATCATTTATATTTTTAAACATATTTTATTTAAATGATTTCTTTTTTTTTGTAGCAAGGTATAAAAATTTATTTGAATCTTCTTTATTCTCATAGATTATCCAAGTACAATTGATGAACTATATGATATTTATATTTATGAAAATTTAATTTAAATATGAAAGAAAGAAGTTAATTTATTATAAATTAGAAGCAAAAAAATTAATCATAATAACAAAAAAGACAATATTGAGCATAAATAATGTAAAATACAAAATAAATAAAAGAGAAACCAGCACAATTATTCAAAATCCTCTTCCTCTAATCATCGGGAGAGATCGAATTGATGAAACAAACATAACTAGTCTTAAGAATAGCAATTGTGATCATCTGCCTTAAGAAAGCCTTACCGAAGTTCTCCAGAATTTTTCCTGATTAGGTGGGCAACGTCTTTAAAAACTTTTTAGCCAAATCACCATATGTTGTTAAAGTGGAGCAGATGATTGGCACGAATATGTAATTAGAAGTATCAGAGCCGTATTCGGTGATCTTAATTCTCTGTTCAGAGCATTCTTGTTAAAATTGGAAGGGGAGTTCATGTCCAAACAAGAATAATCTTATATTAGAAACTTTCCTTGTGACCATGGAATTCGTGTAACTACATCAGGAGGCCTACCATTGGAAAGACCAGAAGCCTTCTGAGGTATGAAAACCAGCTGACCTAAGTGCAAGAGATATTATTTAATTGCACCTCAAGAGCCGGGATTACAATTGCAATGTAAAGGATGAAGCGCCATATTGTCGCCATAGTATGACATTTGCTGCATTTATATGGTAATAAAAGGAATGTTGAGCCTGTTACATAAAGCATAGCTGAGCCCGTGATTGTCCAATTTAGTTTAAGATTGTTAGATGAAATAACCTAAAAATTCATATCCCCTATCCTTGATAAGTTCAATGAATGTGGACCTAGCCAAAAGTGAAAGACTCGAAATAAGGTTATCAACGGAGTTTTTCACAAGTGGTAGATCACAATCCTTCTGTTTTACAGAGATCGGAAATATTGTTGTGGTTGACACGGATTTTGCCCACTCCGTCTTAACATAATTCAAAAAGGGATCGTGGGACAGATGTTGGTCGATTAGTCTATTTGCCTGAAGGTAGCTAGCAATGAACGCACATATTGAGATCGACAGTGGGGACCTTATACCAAGTCCGCCATGTTTGGAAGGAAGGGTGGCTTGATACCAAGCAATGTCCGTAAACTTGATATTTAAGCAGTCACTATTAATTACTCTTATTCTGGTTTCGAATCTTTCCAGATGCAACCTCTCTAAAAATAATGGACTCTATCGTAGGGCGTAAAAATATTTTAGGGATTTTGAAGAAATTCCTAATTTAAAAAAAGGCAGCCGAGAGACAGGGAAGATTACATTTTTTAATTTTCAAATATATCGTCCATATGGCTAAAAAAAAGAATTTACTGACTCCTCACCAATAGGAGATCCCAAATGCGATAAATTTTTCAAGGTGACATGCTTAAAGCTAAAAACGTTTAATGGAATTTTATTGATTTCACAATATTCGGTTTTGATTTAGTTGTTTACAAGTCCGAGACTCTACGTGGAAGCCTTAATAATAATAACAGCCTTTTCCACCTCAGAAGAATTTTTTCTCAGGGCGACAAGTTTGCCTCCAAAAAAGAGGGCCCTTGCGAAATCTAATATCTCACCATTAATGACCTTGTTGCATAATTGGGTTATTTTATCCAATAAAGAGGGTTAATTGTTGAGGATGATAGGAGTTGTAAAATCTTAATGAAATAAAGGTTTGATACCTTCAAATCCAGGAGCAGCCTCCTTCTGAAAAGATTTCACTGATTTAAATACTTCTTCCGAAGTGAAAATCGGAGAAGGGTTCTTGGTTTCGTAAATCATTATGCTTCCAGTGTCTGGGGATGCTTGTCTAGTAGTCTTTGGTGTGGCACTGTGTCCACTGGAGTAATTGTGTCAAAAGAGCTACATAGTCTGAGGTACCATTTATGTCCAAATTGTTTATTTTGTTATCGATTAGCTTCACCTTGAAATTTATCATCCTGTTTTTTGTTGCAGGTGAATTATGATGTCAAGGGGTTCATAATAGATATTAGAAGATGCTAAATATTTGTAGTGAAAGAATTACCATTCACAGCAGGAATTTGGAAAGATTTGTGACCGAATAAAAGAAAGGTTGACCATGCATCCTTAGAGAAGTTTTTTTAACAGCGTATCAATGCATTGAGCATAATTGGTAGAAACAATTTGTCTGACACCTCTTGGAATTCTGGAAATCAAACGAGATTTGGGCAGTCCAAGGAATTGGTCAATGAAGGAATTAGTGAAATTGATATCAGGGATATTAGATTCGAGATTGCAACATCATGATTTGATGTAGATGGAACAGATGACTGTGTTATAGGATTTAAGAGGGAACTGTGGGGATTGTTAATAGAGGAATAGAGGGAACTGAGCCAGATAGGGGGCATCTATGTCCATTCACACTATGGGCCCTTAAATAGCCATTCCCAAGTATTAAAATAGAGTTTCTACATTGAGAACATAAACTTTATCCAACATAATATGCAGGTCTACCATTGTGTATTGTAATCTTATGATCATCTATTAATATTTTTATTAAATCATCAGAAAATAAAAACTGATCATCAACTTCTTTGAATGCAAGCATATGTTGTTGCATAAGAATCTATAATACTG